GCTATGGGGAGCGTCAGTACTCACTAGTTAGAGAGGGGTGTTGTGATGCTACGGGGAGTCGTAGTACTACCAGTCAGAGAGAGAGAGTGTTGTGATGCTACGGGGGAGCGTAGTACTCACCAGTCAGAGAGAGGGTGTCGTGATGCTACGGGGAGCGTAGTACTCACTAGTCGAGCAGGGCATCTGGATGCTACGGGGAGCCGTAGTACTCACTAGTCAGTGGGAGGTCTGTGGTGATGTTTATGGGGAGCCGTAATACGCCCATAGTTAGCGAGAGAGGTTGTTATGAGGAAGCCTTCTTGATCAGAGTATGACACAGGAGGGTTTTAGGCTTGAAAAGGCCCTACGCATGAGTTTGGGAGCCTGGTGGTCGGACCAGGGGTGTGAGACCGGGGTCTCCTCAATGATTGGGAATCATTTATTCTGAGTAAGTGTGGACATCAATCCGAAGGGATTGGATAAGTGAAGTACGCATGGGTTGCGGGTCACAAGCTATGAGTTGAATGAGTCATTGGAACGAGCGATTCCAACTACGGGTCGGACCAAACTCTTGAGTTGAGTTGAGTCCTGGTGGTGTGTGGAATAGACCGGACCGAAGGGTCCAACGATGAGCATTAGATGATAGAGGTCGGGGTTGAGCCGATCTCCAGTTGGGACACGTATTTACCTGGCTGAGTTTTCCTATAACAACAGCCATCATTCGAGCATTGGTATGCCACCCTTTGAGCTGTTGTATGGGAGGAGGTGTCGGACTCCGTTTACTGGGGAGAGGTAGGACAGCGTGTGATGGGTAGCACTGAGATAGTGCTGCAGACGACAGAGCAGATACAGCAGGTTAAAAAGAGACTACTGACGGCTCAGAGTCGTCAGAATATTATGCGGATCAACGACGATCGAGCTGGAGTTCAGGTGGGGGACTTCGTACTCCTGAAAGTATTCCTTGGAAAGGAGTGATCCGATTCAGGAAGAGGAGCAAGCAAGCCGGGCCCGGTACATCGGTCCATTCAGGGTGACCGCGAGAGTGGGCAAGGTAGCTCATCGGTTAGAGTACCTGCGGAGTTGAGCCAGATTCATGATACCTTCCACGTGTCCCAGTCGAGGAAGTGTATAGCCGACGAGTCGGCGGAAAGTACCCCTGGAGGATATTCAGGTGGATGGCGAGCTGAACTATGTTGAGAGACCGGTTGCGATCGTGGATCGAAAGATCAAGGTTATAAGGAACAAGGAGTGCCCTGGTGCAGGTCCAGTGGCAACATCGGAGAGGGTCTGAGCTGACTTGGGAGCCGGAGCGAGAGATGCGTGAGCAGCATCCAGAGTGTTTTGCGGAGTGAGACTTCGAGGGCGAAGTCTGATTCTAGTGGGGGAGAATTGTCACATCCGGATTCCCAGGTATATGATATTATTCAATTATATTGAATTTTTAGAGAGGGACTCGGCGAGTAGGAACCCCGACTCGCCGAGTTGGATCGCGATACGAGTGCCCTGACTAAGGAGGGACTCGGCGAGTCCATACGTGGACTCGGCGAGTCCACGTTGTTTAATGAAACCCTAATTCTCGGGTTTGGGACCTATTTAAAGGCCCTTATGGCCTCCAATTGCGGCTACCAGTCCATAGAGAGAAACCCTAGAGTGCTTGAGCGTTTTGAGAGAGAAAGGAAGCCATTCTTGACCTTTGTGGTGTTGTTTAGCACGAAGAAGGAGGTCCTAGCAAGAGAAAGCAACGGAGGTTGCTATTCTGAGGATTTGAAGCTTAGATCATTGCATTTGAGGTATTACTTCGGCTTTTCTTCTGTTTTATGAAGAATATATGGATTTAGGGTTTCGTGTGCCCTTTGCTAGGTTGATTTGATGTCCAAATAGTCCCTTCTGGTGATGAGGCTTTGGATCTGGATCCATAGAGGTCCAGAGAGCCTTACTCATCAAGCTTTATGAAGAACAATGGAGGTCATGACCTTGGGTTAAGGTATTTGGGGCCAAATCATCATATATGGTCATATGGATGTTGTATGTGCATCAAGATTGAGACTTTACGTGATTATAGTGGTTGGAAAGGCCAGATCTATGGATTAGAGGAACAGATCTGACCTCAGAAAGTCGTTTGAATGTGAGCATGGAATGTACTCGCCGAGTCCATGAGAGGACTCGACGAGTTGAGTCGGGTTGCCCCGCGACTCGCGATCGGTGACGACCCGTGGAGTATAGGGTTGACTCAGTGAGTCAAGAGAGGACCAGGGACGAAGAGGGCATGCGTGTACTTGCCGAGTCACCTTAGTGCACTCGGCGAGTAGGGTCAACTGTGACCGTTGACTTCTGTTGACTTTTAGGGTTTCGGTCAACAGTTGGACTTTTGAGTCAAGGAGGGGTAAAATGGTCTTTTACCCTTCTGAGAGATCGTAGACGGGGGTTTAAGGGGGTTTAATTAGCCTTTGAGAGCCATTACTTATTGAGGATATTTCGATGTGATTAGGCGGGGGCTAGATCAGTAGATTCATGTGCGAGATCATCCGAGATACCCGAGGTGAGTCTTCTCACTATACATTACCTAGAGTGGTATTTATGTGTAGACCAGAGGGTCTTGTATGCTATGTGTATGTATGAGATTATGTGCATTGTATAGACCGGACCGAAGGGTCCAACGATACAGACCGGACCGAAGGGTCCAACGAGCTATGACCGGACCAGAGGGTCCAACGAGCTACGGGACTGGAGGGTCCCGCGGAGACACATCGGACCGAAGGGTCCAACGATATAGACCGGACCGAAGGGTCCAACGATACAGACCGGACCGAAGGGTCCAACGATACAGACCGGACCGAAGGGTCCAACGAGCTATGACCGGACCAGAGGGTCCAATGAGCTACGAGACTGGAGGGTCCCGCGGAGACACATCGGACCGGAGGGTCGTATTGTAGCCTCGAGTGGCGTATGTGTTGTATGTGGTACATTGGGGAACTCACTAAGCTTTTATGTTTACAGTTGTTGTGTGATGTGTTTCAGGTACTAGTGAGGATCGCGGGAAGGTGCCGACATGATTCGTACACACACACAGAGGATTTATTTATATGAGATCTTGGGACATGTTTTGTGATGATACAGAGATTTATTATGATTTTGTGATTTTTATGTGGTGAAAAGTATGTTTTGAAATGAAAAATTGTTTTGAAAAATTGGGTGTTACAAGTTCAAAAATGTTTTTTTATTTTTCACAGATTTATTTTCGACAACATTATCATTTTTTTTTTCTTAAAAGCACATTGTTTAGTGATTGTATATATATGATCTACCTATTTTACGAATGTCATTTGGAAAAATATTTACTATTTTAATGATTAGACTAATTTGTGAATATTTTTAAAGAGTGGTAAATAGAAACAATAATTTCTTTTACTTTTTCTTTTCATTTTCTTTTGTTTCTCTCGTTAAGTTGAACTTGAAAACGAGATGTAAGAGTTTAAAACCTCTCTCCCACCCTCCCTCCCAAATTTAACAAGAACACGTATTTCTTTTTCCTCCCATGCCACTCAAATTAGAAATAAAATACATTATTTTCCATCAGATTCTTTTGTTCGATATTTCCATCTAGCCTAAAACGAACCACATCAAACTAATAGATACACTGATACACGAAACATCATCAAACCAAAGCCACAATACAATACACTGAGTGATCACAACTTCAGATCGATTTCAAGTCAAGATTAGTTCATGAGAATAAGTGCACCAAATGTTAAAGTCCAAATTGAACCATTGGACATGACCAATTAGCCTTTATCTCATTCAATTATGACTAATCACATTATATCCCTAAAATACAGGTAAATTATTCAATCTTAAAATACTTAAATACAAAAATCAATAAGTTAAAGTCAATAATTGATTCAAGTAACCAGTCTAGTAGAAGAATGGAAAGACGAGGCTAGGATATAAAATATAATTTTGAAAACAATAAATAAATAAAACAAAATGGCAAAAGTGTCTTTTCAGTTTTCACATACACTAAATGGACAAAAACATACGGTCAATCATAGGGAGAGTCAGTCATAAGGACTGGATATGTGTTCAAAAATCATCAAAAGGACTTTTGGTGACATATTTTGCAAACCACAAGGACCATTTATGTAATTTTGTATTTTTTATAATTTGACTAAATTGTGTTTAAATTCGGACGCGGTTGAAGAAGATGAAGGCAAAATGATCATTTCATAATGAAGTATCAAACTTGCCCAACATATGTCTCCCGTGGAGTATCGTACTATCTTCAAATATCGACTCGTGATTCTAATATTCTCAGTTGACGAGATATATCCGATGTGTCGCAAGGCATGTTTGGACACTTTTGGAGAGCATACAATTCATTGTAAAGAACTCTTGGAGTTTTAATACAGGCGCTGTATGGTTAGGGATGTTTTGTTTGACATATTTAAGCGTGTCGGGGTTTCTGCCAAAAAAGAGGCACCTGTGAATTTCTTGACTGACCCGGTAGAAGGAAGGTCAACCCTTAGACCGACTGACGTTTTGATTTTTAGATGGGTTGAATGGAAACACGCATATGTAGACCTTACAGAGGTATCTCCTCTCGTGGGCTTGAGGGCTGGGGGTTTCACGACGGGACAGACTGCTTTAAAGCTGTCACATTCAAAATCACCAAACATGAGAAATCGTGCATGGCAATCAACACGTGTTCATACCATTTGCATTTGATACGTTTGGTTTCCTCACGTCGGATGCGATAGAGCTTCTTAATAGAGTATAATGGATTATATCTATGGATGTAGTCTTCAAAATAATTAGTTTTATCATATAAAAAGCTTAGCGGCGCAGCTTGTTGCTTATTTGTCATCTCACTGTTGTACGATGATAATTAAATTAATGAAAAAATATATATTTAAACAAAAACCATACTTTGCTAAACCAGTTATCCAAAAACCTGTTAGAAATTTACCATGCTGACAAAATAATAATAATAATAATAATAACATATATGAAACCAAGATCATGCTCTACAACAAAGTGAGAATTCCAGCATCACCAACAAAAAACTCATCTGAAAGATTTAGGGCTGGCAATAACCACTCTGCCAAATAGCAAACACGATCATGAATCTTTCTTTTATCATCCGAAGGTCTCACAAGAATTCTATGTGTAACAAACGATTGCCAAATCAATGGCATATACTCACGATATTCATTCTTTGACCAACCTTTGACTTGACTTGTAACTGTCTTTGTAGCTAAAACAAGAACAGGATGCATCATCAAGAGCTTCCTTAGTTCCTGAACAACAGTTTCAAACACAGTTTGAAAACAAAAGTTTTTCCTGTTGGGATTCCCCTGTGGCAAAGATGAAAACCCACGATCGATCCAGTAAAATGCTCCAATTCCATCAATCATTAGTACATCAACACCATTCCGATCTTCATTTCTTTCTTTATCTAGTTTGGAATGCAATCCCTTTAGAGCGGAAAGGAATTGAAAACTATCGTAACATCTGGTGTATGAGATTCGTTTCATGCAATCTTTAAATAATAACTCCATGTCATCATGCTGAAATTGATGGTTTGAATTGCGATTGGTTTTGGATATTCGTAACTTCAGAGATTGAGAAAGGCGGAATATGTCAAGCCGACAATCTAAGTCCAGGAACAAGACGGAATGTTCTAAGCCACCGTATTGGATTCCATTCCAGTTCTTGGGAAGAATACAGGTAACAGCAACTTGCAGCAAGATTTCGGTTTTGGCTGAAGGAGATGGACCTATGATCTCAATGATGTTGTTGACGCTAAGGGGTACCCTGTGAAGGGGTTGAGGGAGAAGTAACAATGGTCTTTCTTTAAGAACCCTAGCCAACATTTGTTTTGCAGTTTCATCTCTATTGATCCAAGCTTTAGCCATATTTACTGTTGATCAATCAGTTATCTGCAAATTTACATAATTAAACACGGTCATCAGATAAACGATAAGGATTGCAGCTCAATTTATAGATCGCTCAACTTCAAAATCGAGACCTCAACAAAAAATCGCACAAGCTTCAAATAAGTAATTACAAACCCTACACCACAATAGTTGTATTTTTAAGCAACCAAAACGAACTTGAGAAAGAAAAGAAGAATGGTAGGTGCGATTTTTTAAACCAAATGGGACTCTAATTGTTGAGCAAAGGCGTAATCAATTCAGTCGGAATCTCTCTCAATTCTGATCAATGATTCTCAATCTTCATACATTTAATATCGTATACAACATATAGCATCCCTATTAATTCCTCAATTCTATAATTCGGAGCAAAAAAAAAAAAAAACGATAGATAAGAAGAAATTGCAAAAGATTAAGACGATAGGGAGATATCGACGAACCTGTTGGAGCAACTTGATTAGTCCTCATTCTTATATTATTCCCGTTAGACAATCATGAAATTTCTTATTCAACTACTAAAACCCTAAAATGGCAACAAAGGGCAAAAGGTAGAAGATGATACAGATTATGAGATTATAGAGTGAAGAGCGGGAACCGGGAAGCTTGAAGAAGGATTGTATCTTTCGGATCAGATATTATCAACCTATGATGCTTAAATGGGCCTTTGACAAGCCCACTTACGAAAACTAATTTAATAATTTCTATTGTTTTCGATTTTCTATATTAGATTTTCGTCAATTTTAATAAAAAATTATGGGATAATTTCGTATAGAAGAAAGTTATCAAATTAAACTATAGCGTGGCGACAGAGAGACCACAAAATAGCTAGCGTGGAACTTGAAGAAAGGTTGATCCGTATGAAAACCAAGATTCTAGCGGATAAATTGAGGAAAAGACTCAAAACAGCGACATAAATGTCATTATTTACTAACGACTCATCAATAAAAAGTTTTATTTGTGCATAAATATCCCACAAAATTAGTTAGTTTTGAAAAGTATAAACTTAAATAAAAACTCTCAAAAGTATTTGAAATAACTATCTTTTAGATTAAAAGCGTTTTGTTTAAAATAAAATTAAAAATTAAAAACTCTAAAAAACTTTGAAAAGCTCCGAACACATCCACCATATCCTACGAAAATTCTTTCATTATTGGAAATCAGGAAAGATATGCTACGAAAATTCTTGGTTTTATCGTAGATGGAGTCCAAAATATTATAAAAGTAATCATTATAAATCAAGAAAATCTGCTACGTAAATTCTTTGATGTTATCGGACATTGAGTCCAAAAACTTTTAAAAGTAATCATGATAAATACGGAGGATAAAGTCCGTCTGTACTATTAAAAAAAAATTATATATAATTTAATACAAAATTTTAATTTAATTTAGTATTTAAAATATTTCTACTGACAACAATATAGTCAACTACTTAACATTACAAATATAAGTAATTTTAAACCAAAACGTTACTACATGTACGAGATCCACTTATTAATGCAACCTAAAATATTTATTTAATTATTGAGGATTAAAAAAGTCCACACAGAGACTCTTGAAAATTATGACATAGATTTTGAAAAAATAGACGTTTGCGACATTGTGTAACCACAAACAACGAAAGACGAAAGGAAACCAAATCAAGTCACCAAATTTTACTATTTTAGTTTTTATCCATATCGTCGTTAAACAGTGGCCGGCAGCCGCCTTGATCCGCCGCTGCCTATCTGCCTCCGCTACAGCTTAAAAACAGAAAATAACGGCCACCCTCACTCACAGATACCATGCTGAGCTTTTTATCTTATCCATTTCTTTGGTCACTCTTCATGATCATTCTCTTCTTCATCAAATGGCAATTCTTCCCATCTAAAACCTCAAGAAACCCTCCACCATCACCACCCCGGTTACCAATCATCGGAAACTTCCACCAACTCGGCCCCCTCCACCACCAATTTCTGCGGTCACTATCTCTCCGTTACGGCCCACTCATGCTCATCCACCTCGGCAACGTCCCGACGGTGGTTGCCTCATCAGCCGATGCAGCCCGTGAAATCATGAAAACTTATGACATCATCTTCGCAAGTCGACCCGAATCCAAATTGATAAAGAAGCTTCTCTACGATGGTAAAACCGTGTCCGGATCCCCATACGGCGACCATTGGAGACAGTTAAAAAGCATCATGGTGCTCCAGCTTCTGAGCACCAAGAGAGTTCGGTTTTTCCGATCAGTACGAGAAGAAGAAACTGTCATCATGTTGAAGATTATACGTGATTCAAACAACGAGCCGGTGAATTTAAGCGATTTGTTCGTGACATACACCAACAACGTGACGTGTCAGGTGGTGTTAGGGCGGAAGTACGGCGAAGGGGTGAACGGAAAAAAGTTTAAGCAACTTTTGAGGGATTTCCTCATAACATTAGGTTCGTTTGCAGTTGCTGACTTCATCCCTTGCCTCGCATGGGTTGACCGTGTCAATGGTTTTGATAGTAAGGTGGAAAGAATCACGAGAGAGATTGATGAATTCGTGGAGGGAGTACTTGATGAGCATAAGAAGAAACAGAAAGATGTTAACGAGCATGAAAATTTTGTCGATATTTTATTGGAGATACAAAAAGACGATGAAGACAGTGGTATTCTCAACAAGACTAATATCAAAGCACTCCTGTTGGACGCTTATACCGCCGGAACGGACACCACTGCCACCGTGCTAGAGTGGGTGATGGCGGAGCTACTCAAACACCCGGCAATCATGAAGAAAGTAAAAGATGAAGTGAGGACGATATTGGCCGGAAAAAATGGCATCGCGGAGGAGGATCTTGAGAAGATGAGTTACCTAAAAGCTGTAATCAAGGAGACACTCCGGCTCCATCCTCCGCTGCCTATGTTAGTTCCTAATGTTGCTTCAAAAGATGTTAGAGTTATGGGGTATGACATCAGTAAGGGAACTTTGGTTATGACGAACGTTTGGGCAATCGGAAGGGACCCGAAACATTGGGATGAACCGGAGGAGTTCCGGCCGGAGAGGTTCTTGGGTTCTAATATCGATTTCAAAGGGCATGATTTTGAGTTGATTCCGTTTGGAGCTGGGAGGAGGATTTGCCCAGGAATTGCATTTGCGATGGCTACGAATGAGAATTTGCTAGCGACTCTTCTGTATAAGTTCGACTGGAAATTGGGTAACGGAGTAAAGGAAGAGGAGTTAGATATGTCGGAATCTCCGGGAGTTGCAGTCCGCAAAAGGATTCCTCTTCTCGCTGTCGCAACTCCGGTTTGATGGTCCCTACATGTTTGGCTTAGGTGTAAGGAGATCCCTTTTGATCCAATGGGCTTATTTTCTTATGTTTCTTGCTGGTGTGTATTTAATAATCAGTTTAGATGAAATAATAAAAAAACACACCAAAAAAAAAAAAAAGCATTGATACGTGTTAGAATATTCTAATAATAAAGATATCATTGTTATCATTTAGTGGTAGGTATCTTTGTAAGTTGTATAAGGTTATTTATCATTCAATAAATCCCAAGCATTCTTAAGAATAATAACAAGTATCGAGCCTATTCAAACCATTTTTCTTTTGGCCGGTTGGTTTGAAGCTCTGGCTTCTATTCAAGCAGGCTTAGATTTTTGGAGCTGCGGCTATAGTTGGCATTGTCATCGGCTAACCCATTTTTATGGTTAAAAGTATTGGCTCCTTCTCATACGTGTCTCGCATTTGCCTTATTCCTTCTACACACCGTCATTATCCTCCGTTCAATTTTTCCGACTTGTTGCTATGTTTCCCACTGCATTGCTCTCATATGTACCTCCTCCTAATCAACACGTTCCGATCAAGAGATGGTAAAATCCAATCACTGGAATGTGACCGCCATGGATATGATTTACAGTGCCTCTCCTTCAATTCCATTAGTCGACTGCGTCAAATAAACGATTCTCCCAAAATGATTTCCACCTTCTACCTCCGACAACGTGACTGACAGAGTGATCCCTTCAAATCCATGATGTTATTTCCGGTCAAATAGCCATAAAAGCACCCTTACGCTCATATCTTCAGCTTCGCTTCTGTCCCCTTCTCTCTCTCTCAGACACGAATGCGTCTCAGGATCACCTCATGTTCGCATGGATATCGACTCAAGTAAGATATATGTACTCTCTACCTGTTCATTCTGTTGATGCTTGGAAGCAATTCCCTGTTTCGATTTTTGATGAATTGAATGATCGACTTTCAAGTACTTTACCAGCTTTAGGTTTGTATTACGTCGTCAACAAGCAATATCACGATACGATCTCGAAGTCGCCGTCCATGTCTTTGTCTTCTTCTTCTTTCGTATCTTCATTTTCACATACTATCTCCGAATCCGGTTATCTCTTTCGTTTGACAATCTGCACGCTATATTCTGCCAAGGTATTCCTCTTCTTTAACTTAATTTCAATTGGATGTTACTTATTTTTTGGATTGATTTTGATTGAATTTCAATTACAAACTGCTAAACCACACTTAATTTTCCTTGATTTGCTATAATTTCAATCTCAATTATAAATTCAAAGATATTTCAACCAATTAATTATGCCCCAATTTTGACATGATAACATGATATCCGACCATGAACATCTTTAGCTCACCGATTATTTTGGGGTTTTTTTACCTTATTTGTCAGTTGAGTTTAAAATTCCAATTCTAGGTGATAATCCAAAGACAATGAAGATAAGAGTCACTTGAAATCATCTTGAAATCATGTTAGGCGTGTCAAACCCAACAAATGATATGGGTACAATAGACTCTACATACACTGCTTTAATGCATTAAAAAGTAGTGTATGGCAAGCAGGGTCGAACCACAGAGACACGGGACAATCAGTCTATACTCTTTGCGCAAGGTACTTTAATCACAAAAAAGGGGGTTTTGTTTGCAAAAGTCTAAAAATAAAAATAACAATCTACTATGAGAACATGCAAAAAATGAAATAAACTTGTAAACAATTTGTTGGAATGGTTATAGTTCTAGTTCTCAATGTTGTTGTTTAACTTTATTATGACTTGATGTGATTCATGATTGCTATTCTAAGTTGGTACTGAAAGATATTAATACGCTCTAATACTTCTCGTTTTCCAAATTATCTAACCATAACACGCTCTTTGACTAGGTCTAGCTTGACTAATTCAATCTAAACACGCTCTTAGATTGTACTGAAAAACTGCATTAAGTTTTATACAAACTTCTCAACAATGTTCATTTCTTTTCATATGCTCGGAAGTGTGAAAACATGTGATATATGTTTTACAATAAGAAAACTTATTGTTTGTTACCAATTATTAACTCAATAGAACGATTAGGTGCCCTAAAAGTTAATTAACTACACAAAAATTCAATTCATGAAAGTGGCCAATCAAACACAAATCAAATTCAAGGGTTCTAGTTTAAACAAAAACATAATCACTAGAATAAAATCACAAATCAAACATCAAATCACATGCTTCAAGTCAAATAATCAACATGTTTTGAACAGGAACTAGAAATTAGGGTTTCTTAGCCACACATGGCTAAGAAAAAATCAACCAACAAAAAATGGAAATGGAAGCGTTTAATTCTTACTAATGGAAATCAAAAATGTTTGCAATGATTTAGTCTCTTCAAAAGCTCCAAGAAATCTCCTAAAATTGGCCAAGATTGCCAAAACCTGCTCCTGAAACTGACTGTTATAAAAAATGGCGACTCCCACTTTTTTAATAACTGCTCATGTGCCCAACTCAAGGCCATGCGTTTTTAGCATGGCCATGCCTTTTTGCCTATGTGTTTTTAGCATGGTCATGTGTTTTGACCATGTGTTTTTATCATGGTCATGTGTTTTGCAAGAACTCCAATAAGTCTTCAAACTTATTGCTCCGTCTTCGGCCTAGCTTCACCCGGAGTCATGTTGCTCAAATATAAGATAAAAAGGACAAACACGACCCGTGTTTCAAATGTATTCCTTTGCTATGATGATGTGAAATGACTCGGGTTATGTATTCATGTTTTCTTCCATGGCATGACCGGTTCATCTTATCTTCATGCTCCAAGCTCTAAACTTCAAGCTCACCTCCATAGTTCCAATGCTCCAAGCTCCATATTGCCAACAAATCTAATCAAAAATAGTGAAATACTATGCATTCCGAATAAACATGCAAGTACCCAAATAATTAACTAAATGCAAGAATTATGAAGTAAAATGAAATGAAAATATATAAATAGACGTGCAAAATATGTGCATAAAATGCACCTATCAAATCATTTAGGTATCTAAAATTTTCAAAATTCGTTAAAATCAATGTTTAAACCTTTTTTTATGCAGAATTTGAAATACTGTTAAGCATGAAATGGGTGCTTATGTCAAGGATGCAACAAGGCAAAAACAATACTTAGAAGGATGCACTCTTCGGGACCTGAACCTTCTGTTGTAACATATGAAATAATTCTCAAGATATTTGTTGAGGTATGCTATTCTTCTGTTATTTTTTTTCTTCTTATTTGTGTCTTTGGATTTTTTAACTTCATCTATGGCTTTATGGATGTTGCAGGCAGACAAGTTTCAAGAGGATGAAGAAATTTTTGAAACCATTTTCACAGATGAGGTTTCATCTTTGAAACCTGATCAATAGATGTTTCACATGATGATTTATATGTACAAAAGGCAGGGAGTAATGATAAGGCTCGAAGGCTACTTTCAATGATGAATGAAAGAGGACTCCAACAAACCTCAGTGACTTATAATAGCTTGATGTCATACGAATCTAATTATAAGGAGGTGGTCAAAGTTTATGATCAACTAATATAAAAGGAAGTTAATGCATTTTTAAAGTATTTATATTTATAACTAGAATTAAACTTATCATGTAGACATGGTTGTAGAACTCGTTACTCGGTACCTGTTCGGCCGACTACCGAGTAGCGAGTACTCAGGAGTACTCGGCAGTACTCGGGGAGTACTCGGATTCGGTAATTCATGTAGAAATATTTTTAGGGAACCTATATATATCAAAATCATAAGTTAAAATCTTAATTTGATATAACAAAATTAGATACATGTGAATAAACAAAAACTGAAAAACATATAATGGTCTCACTTCGTGAATAATTACTGAAAATTTAAGATATATATGTAGTAATAATCACATGTGTGTGTTAGACAATAAATCGTTAAGTATATTATACATATTAATCACCGAGTTGACCGGGTTTGACAACACTACTCAGTTCAGTAAGGGGTCGGTTAGGGAGTACTCGGGATTCTGTAACTCGCCTCGGTAAGGGGCCGAGTAGCGAGTACTCGGAGGAGTAATCTGCCAACTCGGCGAGTTTTACAACACTACATGTAGATGCATAGAACTCTGGTCTGCCCTCATGTAGTGACATATGCCCTACTCATTAATGCATATGGAAAAGCCAGAAGAGAAGAAGAAGCATTATGTAATGCCCGTGTTTCTAGGCTAGACATTAATATTTACATGATAGTCTAGGTTAACCTTTGTGACTCATTTTGAAGAAATGAAAAGGAATTATGTGAATATTATGTGTTTTATGTGTTTTATGCTTAATTATTAGGGTTTAATTAATTAAGACTAAAAATGAGCATCAAAAATAAAATATTAGATAAAGCCAATATTTATTAAGAAAGTTGTAGTGGTCGTGACAAGGATTACGAATATATAAAGAATGCCGAAATCCGAGTTATAACGAAGAAGTTATGACCTGTCGAAGTTTCGCGACAAAATCTGCACGGTGCCGAATGTCGTAAAAAGTGAGTTTTTGATAAACTACTTTTTAGCCTTAGTGATCTAAATGAAAGTCGTAGTGTTCGTTAAACCGAGAGTAGGTATAAAAATAACGCCTAAATCTGACTTCGTATGAAGAAGTTATGATTTTTCGAAGTTTCAGCTTAGCAGTAGACAGCTAAAAACTCGAATTTTAGATCGAGTGATTTTTAGCCGACACGACCTAAATGAGAATCGAAGGTCTCGTAAATAGTAGTACAACGGTAAAAAGACAGACGAAAACGGACGTCGGATGAAGAAGTTATGAATTTTTAACGGATTTCCTGTCCCGGTCTGTTAAAAATAATAATATAAAAATTAAAGTCAAAATTAGCCGACGAAGTCTAAACGAAAGTTGTAGAGCGTAATTTTACCTACGCGTGAATATAAAGAACGTCAAAAACGGAGCTCGTATGCTAAAGCTATGGATTTTAGAAGTTTTGGCGCGAAAATCGAGAAATATTGTCAAAACCGGGAAATTTCGCATACGT